GCCGTCCCGCGCCCGCCGTGCCGGGGGGCCGCGCGAGCTGGCAGGCCGCCCCGCGCCCCCGTTCCTCCCCCGGCGGCACCCCCGCGGCGCCGGCTCGGCTGCGGGCTGGCCCCGCGTCACGGGCGAGCCCCGCGGCCGCGCAGGGGCCCGAGCGGCGGGCTCCGTGGCCCCGGGCCGACATTCCGGCCGCGGTGCTGCGGGCGGCTGTGGCTGGGCGTCTGCTCCGCGCGCGCCGCTCCCCGGGGCACCGCTCGGCCTCTGCCGCTCCCCGCGTTCGGGTTCCTCATCCACACCGGGCCTGGCAGCGTTTCGGACAGAGAACTGTCTCCCGGCTGCTCTGCGAAACAGCAGCTGAGCCCGGGCACCGGGCGGCCCTGCAGCAGGGCTAGCAAAAGGAGGCAGCCGGTGCGCGGGGTGGAAGCACGAAACGGGGAATAAGGACCGCGGTTTATGGAGAGCTGCCGCACGTCTTGCCACAGGGAGGGAAACGGTGGGCAGAAGCCTTGTCTGCCTGCTGCCCGGGGGCTGTCGACCGTGGATGGGCAGCAACGGCAAGGCTCTTGCTGCCCTGCCTTGCAGTTTCTCAGCCTTGTAATTGGGCTTGGACAGCCTTTCCAGGGCTCTTCAGAACAGCGCACGGTTCTCTGTCCTGCTCCTTCGGAGACTGGGCTGCCAGTGCAGGGCTCGGGTCTTGCTCTGCTCCCTCGCCTCCTCCAAGCTCACAGTGACATTCAGATGGTACCCAAGGCTGACACCTTTTTGAGAAGGGCCTTGTTTGGCAGTAGACAACATAATGTGTGTCTTGAAGGTATACTGACTGGCAGCAAGAGCTCTTCAGAGTTTGGGAAAGGATGCATTCCTAGTCCTTCTTGGAGATGCTGAGGGCTGAAACAGGGACTCTGAGTCCTCCTTGTGAGCGTTTCCTTCCAGCATCTGACTGGCTGTTGTGGGCACTGAATATGGCAACAGTCAGGGCTTTTGTCTGATAAAGCATCAGGGCCCTTCATGTTACGTCCTTCAGGACCTAGGTTCAGTCTCTGTGTGGAATTTGCCAGGCAGCCTGAGGTCTGCACTGCGATAAGGCAGCTCCCTGTGTCCTGTAACTGAGTGGTGGTGGTGCATGCGCCCACATGCATAGTGTTCTGGATTTGGTTGTGGTTTCTTCACATAAGGTTGGGAAAGGGCCTTGGAGAGCTGCTGCTGCTACTGAGTAGACGCTACTGAGCTCAGTGGACTAAGGGTCGAACTGCGGAAGACAGTTTCATGGCTGCCTTTGTTTCCATGTGTTGCCAGAATAACTTCATGGGCCATTTCTGGAGATCTGTTCTGAGGTGGTCAGCTGTAATTTGTACCTGTAACCTTCTATAAGAGGCATTTCCTGGACACCCTGCACAGGAGTTCCTTGGAGGCCTCTGGCTGGCTACTGCTGGAAGCAGAATGCTGGTCTGGAACAGATCTTTGGACTGATGCAGCCAAGTGACTTTTTCCTGCTCTTGCGTTGCACATGCACCTTGTTTCACCTTGCAAGAGCTCAAAATGGTTTGCAGGTTCTGGGGCAGCCTCCCATCGAGGCAGCACTTGGATCCAGGCCTGCCTCGCATTTGCCACAGAAACTTCAGTAATGTGACTTTGGACAGTTCTTGGAGCCTAAGAACAGACAAATCATGCCACAGCTATAAGGTCAGGAGCCACGAATAGCAACCGCTGGTCATTGTCTTTCATTGCTTTCTGTGCTATATTTGTCAGTGGTATGATGAGGATGATTTTTGTGAGGCTGTTGTGGGTTCTTTCTTCAGGGAGGGTTCAATCCCAGCATCTTAAGGTCAGGCAGGAAAACCTCTTGCCTGAACTTTGGCAAGTCGTTTGTGGCAAGTCCGCATCAAGAACGCTAGACGGATCCAACTCCCGAAGCGTTCTGCTTCTTTTGTGGCTTAGGTGCCAACCTCTGCACCATCACCTGCTTGACAGAATGATCAGAGCTCACCTCCTTCAGCTAGAACTGGAGCTGTTTGCTGAAGGCATTTGCGGGAGTGGGGGAAGTGGCTTGATGACAGGCCCATAGGTCATGACCTACTTGGTTGTCTGAGACAGGTAGGGGTTACTTCCAGGTGGCCAGATGAGGACACTGTTGAACCGAAGGAGGGAGCGTTGAGCTTTTTCTTTTCCCAAGCTATCATTGCTTGTATGCTTGGATAAATAGGCTAGTGAAAATTAGTACAAACTGGTAAGCCTGGTGGACTTACTTGCAAGAGCTCCATTGTAACTAGAGAATGGAGAGGCTTTTCAGACGTTTGTGGGAGCGTTTCTGCTCAGGAAGAGGGCTTCACATAAGCGGCTGAGTGTGATAGAACAGAAGAGACAAAGATGCAAAAGTGGATTTATTTAGAGGCAGACATATAGAAAGTTAACACAAGCATGCTTGAAATGCTCCCAGCTTTACTAGGGCAGGTGCCTAAACAGACTGGAACCCAGACCTGTTGTTACCTAGAAACAAGCAATACTTTTTTTGGCTTTTCTTTTCAAGACTGCCTCACCTGAGAAGTTTGCCTGTTTTCTGAACAGAGAATCAGAACGGCACCCAGCGTCTTGGCACACCATGCAGGGGAGGTCTGTGGCTGGCTTGAGAAATGCATGGCTACCGATCAGCCAGGGGAAGCTGAAGAGAGTCTTGACGCAGGCCCAGTGCCTTGATCTCGAGCAGTGTGAGAGCCGTCGCGGGGACTGAGGAAGCGCTGCCGCCTCCCTGCACCCCACTTGCCCGCTTCCAGCAGTCTGACTGGCTATGTGGCCTCGCATGATGCAGGCCGAAGTGGGCTTTGATGTTGCTCTGCAGGTGCCAGATTCTAATCTGCGCGCAAATGGACTGATGAATAGTAGATATAATGTTCTAATTGTGTTATTTACAGATGTATGACTATGTGGCTATATTTAACATACGGTTATAATAAAGTATTTATTTTGTAAAGGTCTCACTCCACAATATCCCGATATCTTTCTCATTCCTATTTGCTCCTCACATTATAGCTCTGGATGTTCCTAGATTGCCATTTAGTAGTTGGGGTTTAGTTTGCTGATGTTCCTCGTTTTTCTTGCTCTGGGCACAGAGTCATAGGAGGCTTTTCACTTTGTCTTCCAGCATGTAGACATGGAAAACTCCTATCTCTGCGGATATTTGAAGATTAAAGGCCTTACGGAGGTATGAGCTTGATGGAGAAGTATTTTAGGCCAAGAATGTTACTCTATGTATTTCATTCCTTGCGAGTTTTGATAAAAACTCCCCATTTAGCTTTCAAGAAAATAAAAAAGTGAAGGCAGGGAAATTTGCCAGTGATTGCTTTGTAATCATTCTGTTTCTGCTTCACTCACTCGCAGGAGTATCCGACACTTACAACTTTCTTTGAAGGGGAGATAATCAGTAAAAAGCATCCATTTTTAACTCGGAAGTGGGATGCAGATGAAGATGTAGATCGTAAACATTGGGTGAGTTCCTTGGCCTGGCTCTTCCAGGGATGGTGACCCATGTCTGGGCTGTACCACCTGGGGCTGCAGATGGGGGCGCATGACATCTGCAAGAGCGCTTGGCACCAGAACAACTAGATGCCCGAGCGAAGAGCTCACATCTAGCCTTGTCCTTGCCTTGCCTGAATTCTGGAAACTGAAAAGGTTATCAGAGTCATTGTGGCCCAGGTTTGCATGGATGGCAGCGCATGGTGTTCACTTTATTTTACCGCAGCAGGCTGACGCAGCTCTCTGTCTGGGCATTGGAGCAAGAGATACATCATCTCTGAACCTTGCCTCATGCAGTGCTGCTTCTAGATTTTTTCCCTGTTCTGTTATACTGGCTCTTGCCTGAGGAAAGCTGCTGGTGGCCTCGCAGGCTGCTGCTAGGTGTGGCCGCGGTTGAGAGCAGTTGCCCCAGAAGACTCGGCTTTCAGCCTGCTTCGGTCAGCAGGGTGGGTGGGTTGGGAGCACCTGTATTCCCTTTTGGAAAGGGGTTGCCTCAAGGGGTTGCATCCGGAGTTGGGCTGATTATCCACCAGGTCCTCAAAGCCACCCAAAGCCAAGCAGCTGCATTCACTCTTTGTTTCCAGGGGAAGTTCCCAGCCTTTTACCAGTACGCAAAAACATTTAACTCTGATGACTTTGATTATGAGGATTTGAAGAAAGATGACTTCGTCTTCATGAGGTGGAAGGTGAGTTCTTTGTGCGTGTCTTGCAGAGCACCTGCACGGCAGATGTGCTTGGCTCCGGCTGCATCTTGGTTGTGAGCAAAGAGGGGTTGTCGCTGAGCGTCCCCTGGAGGCCGAGGAGCATGGTTTATGCCAGTTTTAGTCTGAATGAGAAAGGTGCCACCCATAGTACTGACCTGTTGGGCTCCATCATTCAGCACCATGGCTAGCGCCTCTGAAATTCAAGCTGCCGGCTAGGGCAGCTCTGCAGCCCCCTTGCCTTCGCTGCACATGCCCCTCACCATCAGAACGGGGGTCCCGAGCATCACTGGGGGCACATGTAGCCCTGTCTGCTTCTAGAAAGTGTAAGGTTACCTCACTGTATGAGTCTAAGCGGTCATGACTTTTCCAGGGCCACGTGCTCTCTATCTGGTTACTGCAAATGGAAGCTGGTGGGTGCGTACCACAGTTGTTGTTGTTGTTGCTGTTTTCTCCATCACAACCAGCTGGGAGGGCAGACGCCCTGGAAGTCATCAACGGGCCCTGCAAGGGTCAAAGAAGCCTCCACTTAGTGTGTTTTCCTTCTCCTCCCTGTGACTCGAGCTCGGGATGCAACAGCCTTGGGTGACATTGTCTGTGCCTGTGCCTCAGGGTCTCCTATACTCCACCAGCGGTGGAAGCACGCGTGGCACCCGGCGCAGCAGTTTTGTGGGGTTTCTAGAAACAAAACTGACTGGAAACTTTTGTGCAAGAAAGGAAGTTTTTCCACTCCCCTAAATAGACTGAGGGTTGATTTACCATGTCTTCAAACTTCGATGAAAAAGCACCCCGCATTAATTATACTCACTATACAAACACTTGTGCCTTTCCCAGTGCAGTTGTATGCATGCTACTCAGAATTAATATCCACTGAGTTTATTGGGAGTTACTCCCAGGTAAGTGTCTATAGGGTTGCAGCCTAGGTTTAAAAAATGAGGTAAATTTGTTTGTTTGTTTGGGTATTTTTACCCTGTCCAATACCCAGTGGGTCTCTGGATGGCTTACAATTGAAATCCAGTAAATACGTATTTAATTAGGGGAAACACACTTAAGTTTTAATATCATATTCATAGCTTGCTTTAGAAATCATTTTTATCAGACTCTTTTACAATCTTTTAATGGCAGCTCAGTAGCATTTGCTTCCCTTGTACTGTTGACATTTTAAGGGAGGAGGGGAAGAGAGAACTGAAGGGCCTGAGCACTGTTAGCTTGCTGACTGTGGCACACGTCCTGAGCTGTGTGTCGATGCACACACTTCCTCAGGACGGTGGACTGAACCAAGTTAATTCCATCACTGGAATCAATTGCAGAGTGGAGCATTTTTAGACATGGTTTTTCCCCAATGAGAAGGATCGCACCAGAAAACTCCACAGTGAGATACAGAAGAGGGCTCTGTGCTCCTTCTTGATTTCTGTATTCTTGTCCACTCTCGTGCAGGAACAATTCCTGGTCCCAGATCACACCATCAAAGACATCAGCGGCGCTTCCTTTGCTGGTTTTTATTACATATGCTTCCAGAAATCTGCAGCATCTATAGAGGGCTATTACTATCACAGGAGCTCAGAATGGTAAGTGGCTAACTTCCGTGCGGAGGGCCGGCAGGAGAGCTTTCTTCTTCCACTTGGCTTTCGGACTTTGGGATTCGAGGTTTGATTAGCCCGTGGAAGGGATGCAATGCGCTGTGTAGCTTCTTGCCACTAATTTGGGTTTAAAATGGATAAACATGCCTGCTGTTTTTTCTCTTTGCACTGTTTCAAGCGGTGGCTTTCAAATCATGTTAGAAGGGTAAAAGCAAACACTAGAACACACTTACTGTGGGTGGAGATGACTGACGGAAACCCAGTCCACCTGCCTGTGTCAGGTATCCTGCTTGCAGGCATATTTGACACGTTCTGAGTCTTGCAGTCAGTGGTGTGGCAGAAGACCAATTCAGCGCGCTCGACTTGTGCCCCAGACTGGCCGAGCGCCCCCCGGACCAAGGTCCTGCCTCCCTCGCGGGGCTCAGAGCACATTACTGGGGAAACTGGATCGGTCCGCTCTGGGCGAGAGCGGACAAATGGTACCGAGTCTGCAAGCTGCTGCTCCGACAGGAAGTGGAATAAGGGAAGGGCCGTTCAAGTGAAACCCCTTTGCTTCCCCTTCCAGGTATCAATCCCTGAATTTGACGCACGTTCCCGAGTACAGCGCCCCCATCTACGAATTCCGGTGACAGCAACACCAAGAGCGGCACCAAGAGATGGCCAGTGGGGCCGGGGAGAGCGCAGGCGTGCGAGAGGGGGCATGCTCTGTTAGGACAACTGTGGTGGCCCTGCCGGGACGGGGGACCGCAGGCTCTTCTCCCGCCAGTGTTGGGCTGGTGCGCGAGCAGGAATGAGACCCCACGGGGCTGCCGTGGCCTGATCCTCCTTCCAGCTGTGTGGCAAACTGATCCTTTAATCTGGTTTTAAAGCTACTGTTCAATGCACTTTTCTTGCACAGCTAGTCTCTTTATCACTGACAGTCCTCTCCTCTGCCCTTCCGGGGGAGGAAATGGCTGCGCCTAGATGGATTCTCTCCTACTAGAAGAAAACATAAGCTCCTCCCTGCTTATGTCTCCCCTGCCCCTTGCTCTAGCCATGGGCTGTATTTCAGAGCAGTCATCCAGAGGTGCTCCTTCCTGCGGAGCCCGAGCAGCGCTTGAGGCTTCTGTGTGCCCAGCTCACAGCTGCAGCATCCACTGAGGAGGCCGTGGGCCAAGCGGAAAGGGCCTAGCCACGCGTCGCTTCCTGTCGGCTAGTGATGCTGCATCTTTCAGGAATGTTAGCCAGTCACGGAGACATGGGCCGTTGTCTCGATCACATCGGAGAGAAATAACGCAGTCTGTAGGAGTGGGAAACATAATCATGCTTATGCAAAGCTGTTGATCTTACAAAGAAACTGTAAGGACTTTAAAGGATAAAAAAGGTAAATTTTAAGGCCCACTTTCCCTACTACCCCTCGGACTGTATAGCACATGCATAAAGGGTTCCTCCTCACATTTTCCCATGGCTGCTGTTTCCCTGTGGCGAGAGCAGTGGAAGTCAGTGTTGGCTGATGGTGGCGATCTCTCTGTGTAACCATCAAGCAGTGCTGACAGGCACCCATCCCAGAGCAAGGCTGACCGGGGGCACGACAGCCAAGCTCCGGCACTTGCTCCAGCTCCCCGTGCGGCAGAAACCTTTGATGTTTGCTATGAATTTCGCAGACAAAAAAGCCTCCATAAAAATAAACAACTCTCCTTGGACTTGGAAATGTTCAGAAACTTATGGCTTGCGTGCCAAACTTTTGTGTGTGGAGTTGTGTGTGTGTATGTGTGTGCTAGTCCAGATGCTGTTTAACCTGGCACTCCTCTGCGGAGGGTACTTTGGAGTTGTCTTGATTATATTGTTTGCTGGCACGGGGCGGGAGGAGTGGCAACTACCCCGCTACTCGGTTTTGTGGGGTGGGGGGCAGAACTTGCGATCATGCAAGGTCCACGTCCTGCAGGAAAATGATCTGCCCTTGCAAAGCCGTCTGCCTGTCCCCTCAGGTGCCTACAATTTACAGGGTAGCTGAAAACAAGTCTGGCAAGGGGGCTTGCTCAGAACGAACTGGTATTTTATCCAGGCGAGAGGCCAAAGATGTGGGTGCATTGTGGGTGCTTCGAGTCCACTCCTCAAATATTGTGACACTGTTGTCATTCACAATGAGTGGGACTGCAGAAAGTAGACATGGTACTTGGGACGGCGGGCGAGTTTCTTCTCTGTACATCCGGGGCTCTGTCTGCAAGACGGTCTTGGAAGGAGTACAGAAGAACATGCAGGGTGTGGAATCGGTGTGGAATTAAGTCCTGACTGGTTTGAGAGCAGGTTTCTAGCCCCCATAGCTTGAATGATAGGCATCTAGGTGTAGATACTTGGGAAGGCAGTATGTAGTTGAAACGTAACACAGGTTTGGCGGTCACCCGGGGGCGTAGCAGGACTCCATTGCTCTCCTCCAGTGGCCAGGGAAGCCAGACTGGGTTATGGTAGGAAAACCGTGTGGTACACAGTCGCTTGGTTGACAACCATCATGTGGATCATGGCAGCCTTCTTTCCATGGCGTAGGATTTGTATTGCCAAGGTGCGGAACTGTAATATTTCCAGAGCACAGCATGCGTGGTGCTGTCTGTATCTTTCAGAAGAAGGTCACCGACTGTTTTCAGAACGCTCTCCAAAGTGAGGGGAGGAAAAGCAAAACCCCTCATGATTAGTGTTGAATTTTTCAATTAATTCAGACTTGCTGCTTGCTTGCTTGCTTGCTTGCTTTCTAACCATGTACTGTACGTTGCAGTGGCTGAATCGCAGACTGAAGCCTCAACAGAAGTGTGTGACTCTCGGCTGGCACGTATATATTTCAGGTCCCACGTTCCCATTAACGTCACAAAACACTCCAGGCCAATGCCGCCTCTTCCCCGTCCCCCACCACACTGCACGGAAGCACGGCAGAAACATCCCAGTGGATTTGAGTGGAAGCACTGAAGGTGTGCGTGCAAAGGAGATGGATGTGCTTTGCTGGGTCACTGTCTTGAGTTTTGAGGTCAGGTGGATGTTTCCTTTGCTTCATTGCAGGGAGCTCTGTGATGTCCAACCTGACCTTCATCCTGCTTGGTCGTATTCTGCTAATAGGTGTAGGGAATAAGACCGGGTGCTTCTGTAGTGCAGGGAAAGAAATGGAGAGCTTGTGGCCCTCTTTGCTACTCTTTCCATTGTTCTCACACAGTAATAAAGGTTCTTCAGTACTTTGAGAGTAAGGCCCCAGACTATTTCCCACGATAAACTGTAGCTTCTTCCCCTTTGCTTCTCTTTCTACTTTTGAACAAGCCAGTATCCTTTTGAAAGACTGACAGTTAATGGTGCCTTTGCTTTCTTTGGCTTAAGGGGACGTAATATTAGGGCTCCCCCCACTTCCCATCCTGAATTAAAAAGGGAAGCCAGCGATTCTCCAGTGATCCCTTCAGGCCATCGAAATTGGTCTTGCATGTAATCAAAACAGGAAGAGAAGAAGCACAGCCAGTCTGTACTCTTTGGACACCTTTGCTACAGCGTTCAGGAAGAAATGCTTGGGTGCGAGGGGGAGCGTGCACCGGAGAATCCCACTGTTTCTGGAAGTCCAAGCAGCTTGCATACCCCACCCCGAAAGGTCCTGTGTATGTTATACCAGAAGTGGCCAATCCTAGCGCTTTCCTTCTGTCCACTTCATCGTAAAGGAAGAGGAAGCCAGCCACAGCCCCCTGGGCCATGCAGTCACAACTTTGGGCCGGAAAACAGCAGATGGAATCCCCAGTCCAGGGGGGTCTTCAGGCTGGCACTCCTGCTTTTGGCGGCAACCCTCCAGTTCTTGTCTCAGTGGTCTTAAAGCTGAGGGGAGTTCTCAAAAGCAGTTGGAGATGATGGCAGGGAAACGTGAGGGATGAGGACTCGAACCCAAAAACAGAGAAAGTGCTTGGCAGGGAGCGGGGCAGAGGTCCTTGGATGTGTTTCAGCTCCATGCAATTTTATTTTCATTGCCTGAGCAATGTTTTTAAACCTGGTATCTTCTAAATTCTAAAACTGGTCTAAGCGCACCTGCTGTAATTCAGTCTTCCAAGCAGCTGTTGAAAATACTAAGCGTCTTTCCATTTCATTGTAGCATGTTTTATGCAAATTTGGCATTGCATGGAAGGATCGGTCCTCTAATTTGGAGAGTTGGGTAACATAGAACAAATACAATAGAAAGCCACTTGGAGGTACCAGGGCCCCAAAAACCTCTCCTAAAAGCCATGGCTGTGATATTTGGAAAAGGGTGCCCTTATTCTTTGATAAAAACCTATTTGTTAAACCTGATTTGTTAAACGCTTCTGTATAAGACATCATACAGCACTGAAAAGATGAAAAGGTCAGGAAAAAACAGCCTTTTAAAAAAGATGCTTCACTGTGTGAAATAGAGCTTTAAAATAATATTAATCTTTCTTTCCTGCTCCCCAACAATAAATTATCAGATGCTGTAACAAAAACCAGGATTCATGGCTGCATGGTGCTCATAGACAAGAATGATGGGGCTTCACAGGCAGAGGTTTCTGAGGTGGGAGCTTCCAAGTCTTACTGAAAAGATTTTATAAAAGCTAACTTGAAAATCAGAGTATTAAAGAGTATTTATAGATGATTTCAGAAAAGCGACTGTGAGTTTTTCCAGCGTTATCGGTGTCCAAATTAAAAGAACATGTATTTAATGAAGGCTCTGTGTGTGTTCTTGGCCAAGGGTGTGGGAGAAGAGTTGGAGTGGGCCATCAGAATGACCTTTATTTTACAATGTATAGGCAGAGCTGTGGTTTGAAAAAAGGGAAACACTCGTACTGTCTGCAAGTTAGGCTGGAAACCCTTATCAGCAATTCTTGTTTAATTCTTCGGTTCATTCCGTGGACTGGGAAGCATTTAGGCCATGCAGTGTCAGGCTAGTCATGTGATCAACAGAAAGGCTGATCCGTGGCACTCTTTCCCATTCCTTGCACCTTCCTGGATGCTCCATCTTGATCTCACTGATGTGACAATGTAAGCCGGCTGGCAGTCCTTTGGGGAATGCAATGCTGCAGTGTGTGAATCCAACTGCAAACTGCCTTGACTGCTGCCCGGGTGTATCCCCATACTTGTTAGAGCAAATGTAGAAATGATACACCGGCTTCTTGCTTTCCAGCAGAAGCTCTGCTACATTTCCTGCTGGATATGATTTCAGGATCTACATGGCTAGATCAGGTCAGGTGCCTGCCTGGTCTTGATGCGAAGAGGTCACTAGTGCAGTGCCACATGGTTCTGGCACCCAACTGTTCCCCGATCCGGAGATGGGAGGGAAGGCAGAAAGGAGGTGCCTCCACTACACCCAACATAAGCTCTTCTGGTGGGGGAAAGGATGTACCTTTTGTCTAAATGTCTGAGAATTTAATGTTGTTAATGTGCTACTTGAGTGCATTTGCACAGCGTTTGAGCTCCACCAGCTGTTGGCAAAAGCAAAAACAAGTTAAATCCACTTGCTTTCCTGGTTTCAAAGCTTCTGCCTGCGAGCCACAGGTTGATGTAAGCCAGAAACGTGTCATGGGTTCCTGGATCGGACTTTTCATAGAAATTTTCTGAGATGCCATTTAGACATTGCTCTTCCCTCTGTCCATCTTGCAACTGCTGCCTGAGAGAAGACCCCATTCGAGTGCACGGCAGAGTCGTCACTGGCCCCACACTGTAATTTAGGGATTAGGACCGGGAAAGAACAGCCCTGGGGTGGCTTAGAAAAGGACAAATACTCTGTAAGATCCCCCTGTATTGTAGGGACGGTGGTGTGGCTTCGGACAGCTCTGCAGTATCGTCCAATGGGGGAGGCTGTGGTGGGGGAGGCTGTAGCCAAACAGTGGGCATACAACAGCCCTGTAGTGTAGGATGAGAAATAGGGAATAAGGTGTGAAGGTAAGAGGTACTTACAAGTATCCAGCCGTGCAGTGCCAAGAGAGAGTAGGAGGCTCAATCATAGACGTGAAAGAGGCCGGAGGGTACAAGTTAACCATCCCTCTCAGGGGGCTGCTCAGCTGCATCTAGAAGGCTGCCGGAGTGGGAGAGCCTCCGACCTTTCCAGGCATGGCTCTTCCTGCTATGCTACTCAGGCTCTTCCTGATCTCAAGCCGGAGTCGGGCTTCCTGTCACTTGAACCTGCCACTCGCGTCCTACACTACGGGATGAGCAGGAAAAGATGCTGGCCTTCCTCCGCGGGGCAACCCTTCAAGCCCCCGAGGAGCGCTACCCTGTTTCCAGTCGGGCCTCTCCAAGAGAAACACGCCCAGTTCACTCAGAACCAGAGCAGGGCTTAAAGCGTAAAAGATGGGGGAGCGCTGAGCTGAGCGGGAGAGGCGGGACAACAGCCCTGCCGTGTAGGCCAGTGCCGGGGACGGGAGGAAAGCAGGCGCGATAGTCCAGCATGGGGGGGGGGGGACGAGCGTCGAGGCCGAGAGAGGCCGCTCACGGCAGCCCGGCGGGGGCCCCTCTCCGCGGCCCCAGCATGAGGGGGGGCGCGCCCGCCAGCCCTCGACCCGGAAGCGGGCGCGCGTGCGCCAGCCCTACCGTTCCGGAGAGGGCGGAACCAAGAGGCGCCTGCCCTGGTCGGCGGGGGACGCCTTTGCGCGCGACCCTCGTGACGCCACTTCCGGTGCCGCCGCTTCCGCCCCTGCAGCTTCTCCGCTCGCGGTGCCACGATGGGGATCCTGGAGAAGATCGCGGAGATCGAGAAGGAGATCGCCCGGACCCAGAAGAACAAAGGTGGGGCTCCCGACCGCGGGAAGGAGGGCGCCCTGCCTGGCTCCTGTGCTTTAAAGGGGCCGACTGGCAGGCAGGAGCTCAACAGGTGCAGCTCTCCGGGCTGGTTGTTACGTGTTTATTCCGCCTGCGTTCCTCCCTGTAAACCCTCCATTTTATCCGCACAACAGCCCTGTGAGTAGGCCAGGCTGAGGGCCCAGGACTGGCCCAGAGTCGCCCAGTGAGCTTCTTGGCCAGGTGGGGACGCGGCCCTGGATCCCCCTCCCCCGTCCAGAGCACATAGTTTGGGAGTGAAGCAGGAGAAGACTCGCGTGTGCTGAGCAGATGGGCCCCTCCGGACAGGCTCTTCTGCCGTGCTGCTGGTTGTACCCTGGCAGCCTCATCACGAGGGAAGTGGCCCTTTCGACTGCCAAGCCCTAACCTGCTTGGAGCGTACAGGTGAACGAGCGCACCTTGCGTTCTGCCTGGAGAAGAAAGGACAAGCACTGCACGACTTGCAGGATGGGTGTGTCATGTGGCCCTGTTCTCATGATCCAGGCTGGCTGCCACTTTTTGCACCAGGTGATGTTTCTGGACAATCTTGAGGGCTAGCCCCATGAAAAGCCCACTGCGCTAGTCTGCACAGAATGCAACCAAAGCATGGGTGACTGTCACCAAGTCAGAGCAACTCCGGCAGGGCCATAACTGCCCCTCTATGCAAGATTGTGCATAGCTGCTACCTGAATATCCTGGAACAGCAAAAGTTACAAACCTGATCCCTCAAGGAGAGTGCAACCCCTTTTGGAATCTTTGCGCCTGGCTTTCTGCAGAGCTGCTTTTCCAGCTTCTCTGAGCTTAAGCTCAACTAGTTCACTTCTGTGCATCCTGTTAATGAACCGAAACTCCATTCATGATTTTAGCCTGCTCCCTTGGTGTTAGGTGGCAAAGAGTAATTGAGGTGGGTGTCTTGAGCGTGTTGGTGGCATCTTAAGGTCTCTGAATGGACTCTTCTAGCACATTCGTGTAAATATTAAATGGCACACGGAGAAAAATAGATCCCTGTGGGACATCGCAGGTGAAAGACCATAATCTTGAACAATAATTCCCCCAGCACCATCTTTTGGATGCAGACTGATGGAGAAGACAGGAATTGCCACAAAACCACACCACCAAGCCCAAGCTCTGCTAGACATTCTGAAAAATTTTAACAGCTGTCCAGAGATCCAAGAGGGTGAATAAGATTGTATGCTTCCCATCCAGTTCCTACCATAGATCATCCACCAAGCAATCTCAGTCCCGTATTTTGGCCCAAAGCTCAATTGAAATGTATCCAAATAATCATATACCCCACTGGCCCATATGGAAGTAACGCTCAATGTTTGTATTCCATCTCTGCTAGTTTATTTGCTGTTAATACGGTGCCAGATAGATGTTTATGGTATCCTCTTTCTCCCAGCTACTGAGTACCACTTCGGCCTGCTCAAGGCAAAACTAGCAAAGTACAGAGCTCAGCTGCTGGAACCTTCGAAATCAGCGGCAGCTAAAGGTGAAGGTTTCGATGTGATGAAATCGGGAGATGCCCGGGTGGCGCTGATCGGTTTTCCTTCTGTGGGTAAGGTCAGTGGCAAGTGCAGAATTGCTGTCTCTGTGTCACATGAGCAACAGAAATCAAAGAAAAGAAAGGAAAGGTAGACAACTAAGATCAATGAAAGCGTTATAGCAAAGAGGCTGAGTCTTGAAATGACATTTTCAGCACAGCAATGGAAGGAGACAGGTAGAAGCTAGGAAGCAGTCCAGGAGAAAGAAATAGAGGGCATAACTTGAATTTTAGGGTGACAAAGTCCCTGAGAGGGAGGCAACATTGTATCTCCCCTAAACGGAAAATATCATATTTTCTTTGTATTCCACATTTTTCTGTCTGTGAATATACCTAAAGGTGTTTTAAAGCTTTGCCTTACATTTGTACTTCTCTCTTTTTAATATTTAAATAGGTTTTTTTTCCAATAAAGTATGTTTAAATGAAGAAAGGAAAAGAGTGAACCAATGCTTATGCAAGGCAGGCGTGTTTTATAGCCCATCACTAAATCAAAATAAATTAGGAAAGGCAGCACGGAACAATCACCTTATAACTCAGATGGGTGTTCCCATCAGCTGGCTCATTTATCTGTCCAGCCACAGGGCATTTCCCTCGCTTGAGATCTAAGCCCCGCTGCTAATGCATTTGCTTTCCCTTTCAGTCCACATTTCTGAGTTTAATGACGTCCACGGCCAGCGAGGCTGCTTCGTACGAATTCACCACGTTAACCTGCATCCCTGGAGTCATCGAGGTCAGTGCAGTTCCGTGGGATTGTCCCTGCCAGGGGTGGGCCTCGGTGGACACTGGTGCTCATGCGAATGCATCTTTTCCTTTTCTGAGCTTCTCTTTAAATGAGACATTCCTGATGATTTGAAAGCAGTTCAGGTCACTTTTCTGTTTGCCAAATGTTAAACCAAGGAAGGCCATGCGCCAGCGTGTGGTTCTCTTTTCAGGATGTCCCTAGATGTCCAGCTGTGGCTGTCAGGCAGGAAGTTCTGTAGCCCAGGTGACGCTTATGCTCAGCCCCAGGTCCACGCCCAGGCTTTCAGTTCTGCCTTCGGGTTTCTCTGCACAGGGGCTGCTGGATCCAAGCCCCCAGTTCTGCCATGGGCTGGCCTTAACCATGGGGCAGGGCTGCTTAGCCATCTCGCCCGAAAGAACAAATCAGATATCATTTGCATTGCTGCCGCTGCTCCAAGCCAGCGCCTGGCGTCAGCTGCCTCGCCTCTGGAATGGGGATCTTTTATGCCTGCCATCCCCCACCCCCTTGCCCACGCATTTCCTTATTTTGGATGAGAGAGTATTGTAGAAGAGCTTGTAACTGCACCGTGAGCTTGCTAGAGGGAGTGGCGCTCTTCTCAGCACCGTGAAAAGATCTTATTTTCTTAGGTGTTTTAGTCATTCTGTATCTTGCTTTAAATCTGTGACTGACTTAAATCTTGGCAGTGCTATTTTGAGTTGTGTGTCTTATACTGTAGTTCAAAAAGGCTATATTGTATTTTATTATGTGGCGTCTTATGGCTTCAATTGTTACGAACCCCCCTGGGCTGCTTCAGCTAAGGGACAGTATAGAACTCTTCTTCTGGCCTCCATTCAAACATCTGCTTATGCTTCTGTAAATGAACCCTTAATGAAATGCACGTCTCCCAGCAAATAAAAAGTTGCAATCAGACAACGGTGTTAATGAAGAAACCGATCTGCACGCTTTGGGCTTCAGGGCTTGAGACTTGGGGGAGAGGGGAGATGTTCCACACAGCGACGTAGGGGTGCATGTGGAGCGGGGGGCTGCTTCTCATACGCCTCTTCGTGACTTTCTTTTTAACAGTACAAGGGAGCCAACATTCAGCTTCTAGATCTGCCCGGAATCATCGAAGGAGCCGCACAAGGTGGGGCCTCGTTCTGCCTTTGATGGCAAGTGATGCGCTGTGAGGTCTCCTCAGCGTGGATCCATCTAGCCTGAATCCCTTCGTGTTCCCTGGAGGGATGAGCTGGCGCCTGCTCAGAGAGGCGTGTCCAGATTTCCTTAAATCCATCCCATCGGTATTTCCCAGATTCTCAGGAGCCTTCTTTCTGTCATCCTCTTGTCCGTGGAATCGGATTCTTCTCAGTTGCTTGAATTTGTGTTCAGAAGTGCGCCCTTTCATAAGTGGGCATGTGCAAGCACGTGTCTTTGCACAAATACATGCTCCAACCTATGAGGGGGAAACCCATCTTTAGTCTCCTTGCACTTTCTGTGACCAAATTTGCATGCGATTCCAAAAGTGAAGCACTGCCCTGCAAAATCTGCACAGTTCAGAAAAAACTTGTGTGCTGCAAAACCTGCAGGTCAAATGCACAGAAAGCCAAACTCGTTTGAATCCGCTGAGGCTTCTCTCTCATCCCTAGTCAAAGGTTTCCGTTCTGAGTTAGGGCACTTTTCACATTAGAAAATAATTCTCCATCCTCCCTCCTCTGCCCCACAGGGAAAGGCCGAGGGCGCCAGGTGATAGCCGTGGCCCGGACTTCCGACGTCGTCATCATGATGCTGGACGCCACAAAGGGCGAAGTGCAGCGGTCCGTACCGGGGCTGGGGAAGTGGGGAGCCGTCCCCTGGCTGGCCGAATAACGTGCAAACCTGCACCTGGCCCAGCGGGTGGATGGCTCTCGGTGACCCGGCACCCCTCCTGTCCCCCCACAGAGCACTGCTGGAAAAGGAGCTGGAATCGGTGGGCATCCGGCTGAACAAAACGAAGCCCAACATCTACTTCAAGGTGTGTGCCGTGGGCGGGCTCCACGGGAAGGCCGGGGAACTTCCCCGCGCCCGAAAGCCAGGATAGCTCCTTGAAGGGATGCCAGGGGAGCTTGCGAGGAGCACCAGAGATCAGGGCCTTGGGGTGCCTTCTCCAGTCTTTCCCTAGACAAGAGCTGCCTTCGCTGCCAGGACAAAACCGTTTGCGTTGCTGAAGCAGCTTCACTGCCCGAACGGAGTGGGGAGAACCGCTGTGCCGACTGACACTGCAGCAGTGGGGGAAAGGAACTTTCAGGCCCCATGGCAAGGGGTGTCTTGTTCTCAGCCTGCGGGGAGGAATTGGCACGTCCCTCACCCAGGCAATTTCAGAGGCCAAAAGAACAGCCCTGGCCTATTCTGGGAACCAACGTGCCCCCTGAAAAGTGGCGCGTAAGCTTTCTTTGGCTTGCTTATATTCCTCATCCAGATCATCTCATTGCCTTGTCTCATCTTTGACACGAGCCAGTTCATTTCTTCTTGCGTCTCCTGAAATCTCACGCGAGGCTCCCGGGGGGTGAAGCGGGGAGGTGGAGGAGCCCCGAGGGATGAGAAAGGTCCTTGGCCCAGGGGCCGAGCCTGCCCAGCTCGGGTGAGTGACGGCGGTGTTGCGAGCAGGGGTGGCACACTGACGCGGCCTCTCTCCTGCCCTGCAGCCGAAGAAGGGAGGCGGCATCTCTTTCAACTCCACGGTGACGCTGACCCAGTGCTCCGAGAAGCTGGTGCAGCTCATCCTGCATGAATACAGTATCCTTCGCACGGCACCTCCGGCCTCCGCCTTGCTGAGCCGGCTGCCCGAGACACACACGGAAATCGCACCTGGGTGGCTGCCTTGGTAACGACCTCGGCGAGCGGGAAGGGGCTTGGCAGAGCGGGAGAGCCCCTCCGCCAGGCACAGCGGGGCACGGGTTCAGCCCCCGCTCTCGGCAGGAGGATTCTGCTCGAGACCACACAGAGGCGCTGCCTGGCTGCAAAAGCAAACGGGTTGTCCCGGTGCGAGGCCGCCGCCCGCGTTGCAGCATCGCTTCTGCCCCGTCGCAGGCGAGCGGCGTGTGAGTATCGCAGGCCTGATTTGAGGCTCTCCTGGGATTCTCACCTGGAGAGGCTTTGCTGCTCAAAGCGGGCCGGACTCGGATATTCCTGCTCGGCAGGCCGAGCTCAGGCCTGCTCCAGGGGACTCCGGTACCCACACGTCCAGCAGCGCCACCTGTCTCCCCTAGAGAAGACACAGCAGAGGCCTGGCAAGTTGTGACAGCGAGTCCGCGAACTGGCCGAGTCCTGGTTTAATCAGTCAGGACATTTAAAAAAATGCTTTTAGAGGCAGGGGTAACTCCTGCTGAGCAAGGAGCAAATGTATTAGCTAAACAAACTACCTGATTTTTCTCTCGGCATTCCTCCAAGCAGCTCGGGGAGTTACAGGCGATGTCTTCCTTGCCATCCCTTCATATATTTTCCTCCCAGCAGCCCTGTGAGGTAGGCCTTGCTGCAACGGACTGGCCAGTCCTAGCTCACGCAGCAAGCCTTTTGGCCACCTGGGCACCAGAACTTGGCTCTCGGCCACCCTGGGCGAACTGGCCACCAGAGCGCATGGTCCTGGCCCTGCAGGAGGTGTGACACGTTTAACCTTAATTCTGCCCACCTGAGAAATCTTCAACGCAGAGGTTCTGTTCCGGGAAGACTGCACCCCGGATGAGTTCATAGACGTGATCGTTGGCAACAGAGTCTACATGCCCTGCCTTTATGTGAGTGCCTGGGGAGCAGTTCAGTTTTTAACATAATGCGGGGGGGTGGGGTCCCGCAGGGAACGGAGATCTCCTTTAGCCCTCCCAGCGAGCTCTGCCGCAAAGCTCCGGGCCGTGCGCTGCAGTCCGGGCCCCGTGCGCGTCATCTGGGGCCGAGCAGCCGTGCCCCGTGCTTTGGATCGGTTATGGTCCGCAAGATGCCCTCAGCCGGAGCTGGACACACAGGCCCATGCTGTGCCGGACACTGGGAGAACCGGACCTCTGGAAAAGGAGAGGCCACGATCCTAGCCCGTCCGGCTGAAGAGGCGGCATGCGGGCAAAGAGGGAGGGGAGAAGGGACCCCGCCCTCTGTAACAAGCCCCTGCAAAAGGAAGATGCCTCCAGGGATAAAAGGATGTAAACCTCACAACCCCCCAATTGCTTTCCAGACCACCCACCCCAAAATACAAAATCGCTCGGCTGTATATGACTTCTCTCATCTATAATCTCATGAACAGCAGCTGCCCTACCTGATGTTAAAAACATTTTGTTCCACTCCTGCTCTGATTATGTACTCTGCCCCCATACCTGGCATTTTAAGGAAAACGGGATCCAGGCCGACAGATCTAACTAAACTCAGGTGGTTGGTGAGAATTGGGCGGCGGCAAAGAGGGACCAAGGAGCTGCACTGAAGCTCCTTTCACCCCCTCCTTTGGGTCTAGGTTTATAACAAAATTGACCAGATCTCCATGGAGGAGGTGGACCGCCTGGCTCGGAAGCCCCACAGCGTTGTGATCAGGTAAGGCGCGTCCCAAGCCCTGCACCTCGCTGCCCACGCGCAGCTGGCTTAGCGTCGTGCTGCCCGGTGCGACAGGCTCTGTGGCGCAAGAACCGGGACTGCCGCCCTCAAGCGGCTCGCTCACTCACCTGTCGAACCCACATGCCCCCCAGTAGCTCTTGGGTCACTGCGACGTCTTGAAAAGGGCACGGCGATAAAATAGCAACCAGAACAGCATAAATACAACAACTAATATTACAATATTAATATAAAGCAGCCGATCAAAGATGAGGTTCCTGTGGCTCTGTCCAGCCCTAACTGAAGTGTCCAAACTGCCTTCAGGGAGAACTTGGGCTGTCGGGCACTTGAGGAATTAAATAAATAACAGCAGTAGCTTTGCATGTGTCTCCTTAGCTGTGGTATGAAGTTGAACCTGGATTACCTTCTGGAGATGCTGTGGGAATACCTGGCCCTTACCTGTATCTTTACCAAGAAAAGAGGCCGTAAGTAGAACAGCAGGCTGTTGAGCCAGACAACACGCCATCCTGGGAATATTATGGGCCAAGAGCAAGCGAGGAGGCCCCCAGAATTCGTAGCGCTCCATTGACTCAGACCGTTTTCTCTCTCCTTGTAGAAAGACCAGACTTCTCGGATGCGATCATTCTACGGAAAGGTGCCTGTGTGGAACACGTGGTAAGCACTGAGTCCAAGAACCACAGGGGGTGTCCTTGAGGTCATCTGTCCCTGCCCTGGCCCGTTATCACTTCTGGAGTTGAGACCGTCCCAGCGAACCTACGTCCAGCCTTCCTCTTAACTCCTCTTAAGGCAACGGGTAGAAAAAGGCGCTGTGATTTTGGGGGGCTGCTTGTATGGTTACTTGATCAATGCTCGCTGTTTGGAATTATTTCCTAAAACGTGGCTCTCTTGAAGCAGATGATCAGAATCTGCATGATTCTGAGATGTTTTATCAAAAGAGAGAGAGAGAAAAAACGCGTTAGTTGCAAAACGGTAGCAGGTTGATGGACTATAGAAATATTCATCGACCGACGTCGCTGTGCTCCAACCAGCCTGTCCCAGCGCAGTGCCCTCCAGAGGGGCCGCACTCCAGCGCCCCCCACCCCCAACCAGCATGAGCAAGGGGCAGTGTCAGTGGGAGATGCAGCCCAAACCTGGAGAAGGCCCCAGCCGGGGAGAAGCTGGAGCCGGGAAGGAGCTGCCGCCTGCACAGCCAGCTGGTTTCCGTGCCAGAATAAGACCTTGGGGAACTTGGTGTCCACCAGAGCGGGCAGTGCTGAGCCAGGTGGGGACCTGGCGGAAGGCAGCCTCCCGCATACCTGTGGCATTGTGTGTGGGGGGTGATCCTTACGCACACCTGCCTCTGGAAGTGGCACGTGCGTTCCCACGATCCAGCAGCGGTCCCTCGTGGAGCACCGTCATTAATTGCCCCCCGTAGAAACGATTCCCTCTGCCGTGGCGATTCGGGCACCCCGGCGGCACAGCCAGGGCTGTGGCGGAACCGCTCATGCTGCCTTCGGGGCGGGGGCCGAGGTGGCGGCCGGGCTGCGGCCTTTGTGGCACCTGGCGAACCGAGGGTGCGTTTGAGGCCTGGGCTGGTGGGGAAGGTGCGCCCGGAGCTCAGGAGAGCGCCTGCAGCGGGAACCCTCGCTGGGTGTGTCTCGCCCTGCTGGCTGGGGCAGATGAGACTTGCAGTCCAACGCATTCGGAGGGCCCCACGTTGCAGGCGGCTGCTCTGCCCTGTCGTTTGGGGACTGATCTTCCCAGCCACAGGTGTGGGAAGAAACCCTGGCCAGAGACCCCTCCCAGGCACCTTCCGGCTCACCCGAACCTTCTCACCCTCCAGTGTCACAGGATCCACCGGACGTTAGCCAGCCAGTTCAAGTACGCCTTGGTGTGGGTAAGTGTTGGAGCGAGGCAGGAAAAGTGGCTGGATGCAGGGGCGGGGGGTGGCTTCGGATATTTTGGCCCTGCTTCCCCACCACCCTCTGGCCTGGTCGGTGAGCTTCCCAGTGCTCTGGACTGGGGAGCAGCTGAGTCTGGCCCAGGTGGGCCTTTCTTACCTAGGCCAACAGGTGGGGACAGAGCAGAGGTTTCGCAGGATGGCCCGGCAGGTCCGGAGAAAGCTGCGAGCTGGAGGGGGCTCAGCTGCGGCAGAGGGCGTCCTCTGCGGGGTCTGATGCAGCGGGGAGCCCTTTTCTGTGCCCCCCCCCCCGCGGGCCTGCTAAAACCGCTTCTCTGGCTTTCAAGGGAACCAGCACCAAGTACAGCCCCCAGCGAGTGGGGCTCGGCCACCTGATGGAGCATGAGGACGTCATCCAAGTCGTGAAGAAGTAACCTCGCCGCGCTGCCGACGGCCAGCACCCGCTCCTGCCCCTGCACTGGATTCCAGCACGACTCGCGGAAAGACCCAAGAAGCAGACCCTCTTCCCTCCCCCTGCCCCAGCCAGGCTTCCATGAAGCTTGTGCAGAGGATTCTGGAAGCGCTGATGAGCAAGAGGGACCTTTGCCTTCCAGCTGCGGAGGGCACTTTTGGGCGCGTCCTGGATGCTCTGGGAGGGCGAGCCCCGGTCCCGGCCGCCTCGTGTCCAGGAGCCTCCGCTCTGCACGGAGACAGGCCCCTGCCCCTCCCTCCCCCCTTCCAGGCAGGCGGCCTGCACACTGCCTGCGTTTCCCCAGTAGAAGTCCAGCCCGTCCACATCTTGGCGTGGCCTGGACACCGCCAGCGGTGGCAGTCAAGGACCGGTGGTCCGTCGGTCGAGTCCGCAGAGCCGCGGATGTGTTTGTGCTCTCGCCGAGAGAGGGCGTGTCGCTCTCCTCTGTGCAGGCAGGGGAAGCGAGGCTGGCTTTGCAGAAATCGTGCGTCGTGGCATGTCTGTCGTCGGGCGGCCGTAGCCCAGGGTGTCCCTCTTGTGTTTCTGGGGGCCCCCGAACCCCGAGTCTCCTTCGATTGCAATAAAGTGTGGTTCTTAATTCTCTTCCAAACTCCCGGCAAGTCAAAAGTTGTCCAGGAAGTTCCTGAATCGCTGCAAAGTACTTCCCGTGTTTGTCCTGCGCCTTCTCCCGCCTCTTTCCTGTCTCCATTGCATGGCCGGTCCCCGGGCCACTCGCTTTGACCTTTCCTCCCTCCCCGCCATTGTAATTTCCTACCTGTGGTCACTCCCTGAACAGAGTACAGCGCCCCACAGTTATGACTCTGCCCCTGTTCGCACTGCCGGACCCAGAGGAGTGGGGCAGGGACACGCCACCTCGGCCCTCCGTGGTCACGGCTGTCCCAGTGCCAAGAAGAACTTCTCTTGCTGAAGGCGGAGGTGCAGGCTAGCACGAGAAGCTGGCAGCTTCCTCCAGGCCTTCCCACGCTCCGGTCGGCAGCATTCCTGGTGGCCTTGAGCCCCATCCCCCCGGCGTCCCTTGGGCCTGCTGGCTTGGCGAGGACGAGGCTCGGATCCAGCTCTCCCTGTGCGCCGGGTGGCTTGCTTTGCACCCGCTTCCGCCACAAAAAATGGCGCCCACAGCCACTCACAGCCATAAATTTGGCTTGGTTAAAACAAGGAGAGCCGGCCCTGAAAGCGCTGGGCTGCGGCCACGGGGAGTCGCCTTCTGCTCCCCACTCGGGCAGTTCCTGGGGTGACTGGCCAGCCGGACTGGGCACATAGTCTCCCTCGTGGGGTTGGCGGCGAGACAAGATGGTGAGGGGGGATTAGGGGAGCTACTTCGGGTTCCTTGCTGCCGAAGAAGGGATCGGGTATGAAGTACTTCGAAGTCCAGGCTGGGCAGAAGAGCCACAGCCCCTCTCGGGCTGCAGGCCTGCTTCCCGCAGGGGGTCCCGGACCCAGGCGCGCCCCCGAGGAGGCGCTGTTGGCCGCGCAGGAAAGCCAGGCGGGGCGCGCAGGTGCCGCGGGCCGCCGCTTCCCAGGTGCGGGCCATTAAGGGAGGCCGGCCCACCGGCGGCAGCAGGTGCGGGAGGCCGCCCGCCTCGCGTCGCCCTTGCGCTCCGGGGCGCTCGCAGCGGTGCCGGGAGGCCAAGCCCCGCGCGTCCTCCATGCGCGCCGCCCGGGCGAGCGCACGGCGGGGAGGAGAGCGCCGTCGAAGCTGCGCGGCGGGCAGAGGGAGGCGCCGCGGCAGCGCAGCCCAGGTGGGGGCAGCACAGGTGAGCGCGCACCTGGCGCGGGGGGGAGGCGATAGCCCGCGGAGGGAGGCCCCCGCGCCGCCCGTGCGGGAGCCCGGCCGCCCCCTGGACAGCCCGAGGCCGCGCGCAGGGGTCTCCTCGCCCCTGCCCTCTCCCCGCCCGCCCGCCCGCCCGCGCGGCGACCCTCGGGGGAGGCTGGGCCGGGAGCGCGGCGTGGCCCGGCCCGCTGGGTCCGAGGGGCGCCGGGCCGGAGACGCTTCATGCCGAGATCTGTCCGTTCCCGGACCAGCTGAGCCGGCGGGGGGGCGCCCAGCGCGGGGTCGTGGCCACGGGGCAGGTCTGTCTGTCCGATGCGATCCGGGCGGCCCTCGGGGGAGGCAGTTAACCCGCATCCCTGAGGTCCGCCCGCCCGCTTTGTTGACCCACAACCGCCAGCAGCCCAGCTGGCGACAGACAGAGAGGGATCCCCGGATCTGTATCTTGCGTTCCCACGTCCCAGTGAAAGCCATCCCAACCCAGAAAGTTGCCGCTCTGCACTGGATAAGCCGGTCCAGCAGGCACGGTTTATTAAGAATTTTAAAATCCGCCAGCCAGCGGCTGCAAAAGGCTGGGGAAAACAGAGGAACGCGAAATGTAACCACAGGGTCGTTGCGACTGTGTTACAGCGGCAAATACGGCACTTGCTGGGGCAACAGTCCCTTGGCTGCGTGATCCTAAATGCACGAGCCCTCTCCCGGGTTTATGCCCTTCTCTAGCCTAGAAACTGTGAAGGGGGAGCGCCATAATTCCGCTTGCTGGAAGCCCCCGCCTGATCCCACACGGTCGCCTCCGCACCGCCGAAGGCTCCGTCCGCTCCGCCACGGGCCGCCCTGCAGCTTTCACTCTGCGGCTGTTTGTGCAACGGCTCTTGAGATGCTCTGCCCATCCTGCCTCCTGCTACCAGCAGTTCCCGGGAAATTTCAGCAGGAAAGGTCATGCCAGCACCATCCCAAGGGGAGATGGGACTCTTCGGGAGCCCTGGAGAGGCTGCTGGAGCAGCCCACTTCTCGCATGAACAAGAAGGCCAGCCCGTGTCTGATTTCCCAGAGAAAAAAGGCAGAAATTAGGGGTTGCTCGCCCAGCTCAATGGCGGGCAGGCGGTGGGGCAGCCTGCCGGCGTGGGCCGGGCAAGCTTCGCCCTGACCCGGGGCTGCCACCATCCCTCCTCGGCCGTGACGTAGGAGAGAGGGCTGGCGTTGGCTGGGCACCCGGTGCGTGTGTGCGCGCGAGAACACTGCCTGGGGAGAGGCAGCAGCTGCCTGGGGGCCGCGGGCGCACGGAGCCGGTTCCTCGCCCGCCCACGGGGATGAGCATCTGCAGCTCTGCTCTGGGTGGAGCGGGGCTGGCACGTTTCGGAAGGCTGGACCTCGGGCCGGAGGCGGAGGGGAGGCCGGCGCGTGTGGGACTGATGCCTGCACTGGGGAGCGCCTAGGGTAGGACCGCTGGACCGCGTCCTTTCCCAGAGGTAAGCCTCAGGGCAGACTGATGCCAGCCCCCAGTGCCACTCCAGCGCCCCCTTTCACGTCCTCTTTGGCCCCCCTCGCTTTTGCAAAACCAGCTTCACTAGCCAGCAGCGTGGATTGTCCGTAGCAGCTGCATTTCCAGCCATGTGCAGAAGCCAAGCTGGGACAAGGCCCACCGAGCTGGAGCCCTGGATTTTTCGCTGGGAGCCCAGGGTCTCTGGCATCCCTGCAGGACTCCCCCCTGCAGTCCAGGAACCATTGCTGAGGTCAAGACTCTGAGGCCTCCTTTGCACTGGGTCCCTCTAGACAAGCGGGCTTTGGGCCCACATGGGCTTTGCTGCCAATGAATCTTTCTGCCTGAGTCCCCCCCGCCCCCGCCAATCAAATGTCCTCCCCTTAACCCTCTCTACTCCTCAAGAGACAGGGGCCCTCAAACTCACACTCTTGCCCAGATTTGGAATTCTGTTGTGTGAATCGGCGCTTCATTTTGGGCTTTTGGCTGCACTGTTGCGTGCTCGGCTGGGACCCTTCCACCCAAGTTTCAGGGTGAGAATATGACAGTGACATTGGCGTGGATTCCTGGGAGGATGCGCTTGGAATGTCATGATCCAATTCAGTTTATAAATGAGGAAGGGGCCCTTTTCTTTCGTGTTTCCACACTGGAAAAAGTGAGTCGCTGTTAATTCAGGGAGACAACATTCTCAGGAGACCTTCTGTAGCTTGAAGAAATTTGAAATTCCCCTCACCCCAAACTTTCCTAGCCATGAATGATATTTAAGAAGAGTGCACACAATATACAGGGCTTTTTATCGTCCGTGTTTATAGCCTATCCTCCACAACAGCCCCGTGGGGCAGGTGATCCAGACTGGCCAGGGGTCACCGGTGAGCTTCACCGATGAACTGCAACATGAGCTTAGCTCATCTTAGTCAAAGAGTGCCAGGTTTCATTGTTGAATTGTGTGTCCAGCAGGGCTGGATTAACACACAATGCAGTCACTTTGTGAGTGGATCTTAAAACCGACGCACCCGCGAGGTGGGAGAGCCAGGACACTTGAGCGCACCAAGATCCTCGGAGCTCCCCGGCACCCCAGCTTGGTTTGTGTCGCTCTTCCTTTTGCTGTTTTTCTCTCTACTCAAGTGGAAAGTGTACATTCCAAATGGGGAAAATGCACATTTTTGTGTGTGTTTTCCAAAGGCACCCGCTGATCCCCATTGACTAAGCCATGCAATGTGTGCTTGCGTTTTTAAAATACATGTGTTTAAACCGCACATTTCCCCAAATGCACATTTTTCACGTTTTCAAGTGCACTTACAAGTGCAGGAATTTGCAGCCGTTTTCCCCAAAGAGCACGCTTGCATTGGCAACTGCGACCCGGCCCTCCCTAATTTTCCCAGGGCCCCCGGCATCCTTTGCGTATCCTTTGGACCGCTGGGGAACCCCTGGCGAGCCTCTGGCGAGGTGGGAGCCGTGCCTCGTGCTGAGCCACTCCAACCCCAGCTGCACCCCGCCACATCCGGCTGCTGGACGCACCCAGGCAGAATTCCCTTCCAGGATCCTCGGCTGCCTGTCTCCCCGCAGTCCTGCTCGCCGGTGGCTCCCGTTTTTCTGGCTGCAGTTCCTGATCGAACGATGGCTCCGCGTTTCCTCCCCGGTTTGCCTCTTGATCAGCATCAAGAGACGCTTCCGCCCACCCCCAGCATCACGCCGCTCCCGGGCAAGCGAATGCAGGCAGACGCACGCGGCTGCGACCTCGACGGCAGCCAGCTCCACCGGCCAGCGCGGCCGCACGCGGCGCCGGAGAGCGCCGCCCGCCAGCCCAGGTGATCGGGCGCGCGCGGTGCGCCACGGGGCGGGTCTTGGAGGCGCCCTGCGGAGTCAAAGCCGCGGCAACGGCCGGGGCCGGCGGCCTCGGGCCGGCGGCCGAAGGGCGGCGACCAAAGGGCGGCGACCAAAGGGGTCGCCGCCGTTTGGGGGGCCGTTCGGGGGGACGAGAGGGGGGCTGGGCTGGCCATGGACTCTTGTTGAAATAGGCTTGCCTACTGCTGATTCTCAGGGAAGAGGAAGGATCCCCCCCCCTTTTTTTTTTTTTCTTTTTATCGTTCTTTTTCTTCTCCTCCGACCTACTTTATAATCTTACCCTGCTTTAATTAGTGCTTTGAGTCATTCCTGGCCATGTCGACGTTTATATATCCTGGGGAACCCACGGGGGCTGCTATTGGCGTGGTCACGGGCAATGGTCGTTACAACAATAGGGGCTTAACGTGTCCACGTAGAAGAAGGATGGACAGATGGCTGACACCTGTCCCTCCTTCTGATCCTGCCCCCAACCAGAGGGCGCCAGGTAGCCTTGTCA